CTGGCTGGGGAATTCTGGGAGTTGAAGTGCACGCAGGCGCCACCTTTGAGAAATACTTCTTAAAGAAAGTTGAATTAATTAGTTCTCACAATGGGGCTAAACTGCAAGTTGTGATTTGCAAAAACAGAATGACTTACTTCTACCATTTGTCTGAAATGGTACAGAGGTCTCCTGCCTGAGTAGTGGGTTGGACTAGAAGACTTCCAAGGTCTCTTCCAACTCTGTAAGTCTATGTTCTAAGTTACTTCCCGCAGGGCGCTGAAGCTACACAAATCAAATCACATTCAGGGTTCATGTCTTGTATCAACTGTGGTCACAGAGTCTTGAAACAAGCGTTCTGTTGGCATCTGTCAAAAAAACTAAGCAAAATCCTGTCACCCATATAATAATAACAATAACAACAACAATAATAATAGTAATAATAATAATTTGCCATCAATCAATTGCAAAAAGCAGCCTTATTAGGAACTGCTTCCATCCTGCGGCGATATCTGTAATACCATCACATCTGCCTATCCCAGGTTCTTGGGAAGAACTCAATAGGTAGACAAAATGCCAGATCCAGTCTGAACATCTGTTTGACTGTGCAATGATCAATAATAATAGTAGTAGTAGTAGTAATAATAATAATAAAAAAACTTGGAAGGGATCTTGGAGGTCATCTAGTGTCCAACCTTGATTCAGAGGCTTTCCTTTAAAGCTCAGGAAACTGCAGACAAGCCCAATCAACATATGAAGGAAATCTCAGTTTGAGGCTTTTAGCTTGATTGGTAAGAAAAGTGGACAAAGGAATGGGAAACAGTGGAGGATTTTAAAAGAGGGTGAAACTCCCCCCCCCCCAAAAACCTAGCACATAGGGGGAATAGTCCACAATAGTTATATATTAGTTTCAGGAATTGATCGATGCCAGTAAGTTGAAGGGTATAAAGCTGTACACATATCTTGCCAGCATTTAAACAGTCCATCCAATCAATCTTGCAAGAGCTTCCTCTAAGATCCACTCACAGGTCCAGTGAAATCAGTGGGACTAAGAACTAGCAATGTTCCAATATCTCAGGGGCTGCCCCAAAGAAGAAGTCAAGCTATTTTCCAAAGCGCCTGAAGGAAGGACAAGAAGCAATGGATGGAAACTGATCAAGGAGAGAAGCAACCTAGAACTAAGGAGAAACTTCCTGACAGTGAGAACAATTAATCAGTGGAACAACCTGCCTCCAGAAGTGGTGAATGCTCCAACACTGGACGTTTTTAAGAAGAGACTGGACAGCCACTTGTCTGAAAGGGTGTAGGGTTCCTGCCTGAGCAGGGGGTTGGACTAGATGACCTCCAAGGTCCCTTCCAACACTGTTATTGTGTAAAAATCCATTATGGTTATGAAGTTTCATCAGTGTTGACAAGAAAAATGAAAGCAACTCTTTTTTTATTCAGGCTAGTCAGCAATGGAGTTTTTAAGAACACAGCATACAAAGCAAGAGAAACACATGGGTTTTGTTTAGCATAAATTTTATTTTATTTTCATTCTCACAAACATCTGCATGTACCAATTATATCTAATGCAACCTCAGTGCCTCGAAGTCTCAGCTTTCTTCAACTCCCAGAATTCCTGAGCTAGCATGGCTCAGCTTGGAAACCTCCCTTTCCCCTCAGCATGGCTGGCTCAGGAATTCTGGGAGTTGAAGTCCATGAGTCATAAAAGAGCCAAGGTTGCCTACCGCAGATCAAGACCTTTTCCAGAATCTTAGTTCTTATGCCTTTTTGTCATGAGACCACATGCCAAACCATAATGGCAATCATCCACTAAAAATTCCACCTTTTTAAAAATATAGTGCATGCTTTTTTAAAAAGGTGGTGAGACTTTGATCATAGCCATTGTCTTGAATGTTATTTTACTACCCCCTTCTCCTGCTGGCTTTTATTTAACCAGGCCACAATGCCCACTAGATGGCAACAGATAGTCAGACAACTAACAACCCCAGCGTTCTAAAGGAGCTGGCAGATATTATCTCCAGAACCATTGTATCATATCTCTCAAAAATCTTGGAACACTGAGGAATTAACCTGAGGATTGGAAAACAGCTGATGTGATTCCAATCTTCAAAAAAAGGGGGAAAAAAACAGATGCAGGAAACTGTAGACCAATCAGCCTAACAATCAATACGTGGGAAGATACTGGAGAAGATAATCAAAAAAGATATCTGCGAACATCTAGAAACAAATAAAGTTATAACTAAAAGCCAGCATGGATTTATTAAAAACAGATCATGGCAAACCAATCTTATTTTATTCTTTGACAAAGTGACTAAATTAGTAGACCACACCTTCAACAAAGTAGATCACAACCTTGCTGTTGTTAATTGTGAAGTCGTGTCCGACCCATCGCGACCCCATGGACAATGTTCCTCCAGGCCCCCCTGTCCTCTACCATCTCTGGAGTCCATTTAAGCTCACACCTACTGCTTCAGTGACTCCATTCAGCCACCTCATTCTCTGTCGTCCCCTTCTTCTATTGCCCTCCATCTTTCCCAGCATTAGGCTCTTCTCCAGTGAGTCCTTCCTTCTCATTGGGTGGTCAAAGTACTTAGTTTCAACTTCAGGATCTGGCCTTCTAAAGAGCAGTCGGGGTTGATCTCTTCTAGGACTGACCGGTTTGAACGCCTTGCAGTCCAAGGGACTCGCAGGAGTCTTCTCCAGCACCATAGTTCAAAGGCCTCAATTCTTTGTCACTCAGCCTTTCTTATGGTCCAACTTTCACATCCATACATTGCAACTGGGAAAACCATGGCCTGGACTATACGCACTTTTGTTGGCAGGGTGATGTCTCTGCTTTTTAGTATGTTGTCTAGATTTGCCATAGCTTTCCTCCCCAGGAGCAAGCGTCTTTTAATTCCTTGGCTGCAGTCCCCATCTGAGGTGATCACAACCTACTTCTTGGTAAACTAGAAAAATGTGGGAGAGACAACATCACCACCAGATGGATTTATAGCTGGCTGACAAACAGTACTCAACGAGTAGTCCTCAATAGTACTACATCCACATGGAGGGAAGTAAGCAGTGAGGTACTACTAGGTTCCATCTTAAGCCCAATACAACATCTTCATAAATGACTTAGATGAGGAAATAGAAGGGGAACTCATCAAATTGGCAGATGACACTAAGCTGGTAGGAATAGCCAACATCCCAGAAGACAAGCTCGGGATCCAAAAAGATCTCCAACATGAGAAATTTAATGTGAGAAAAGCAAGGTTTTACACCTAGGCAGAAAAAAACCAAAGGTACAAGTACAGACGAGGTGAAACATGGCTCAAAAACAGTAACAGGGAGAGGGACTGTGGAGCCTAGTGTACGATCAGTTAAACATGAACCAGCTGTGTGCGGCGGCAGCCAAAAAAGTGAATACAATCCTTGGTTATATAAACAGAGGCATAGAATCAAAATCACATGAAGTATTAGTACTGCTTTATAAAGCCTTAGTAAGGTCATACCTGGAATGCTAGAATCCAGTTTTGGTCACCACATTACAAAAAAGGATGTTGAGACTTTGGAAAAAGTGCAAAGAAGAGCAACTAAGATGATTAAAGGCCTGGAGACTAAAACATATGAAGAACAGTTTATTTATTTGTTTATTTATTTATGAGACTGATATACCGCTTTAAGTGCAAGCACTCTCTAAGCCAGTGGTTCTCAACCTGTGGGTCGGGACCCCATTTGGGGTCGAACGACCATTCATGGGGGTCGCCAAACAAGGCTGTCCGCCATTTTTCCCCCTTTTCTTTGGCCACGCCCCTGGCACCCGGTGATGTATAAGTGGTTGGGGGTCACCACAACACGGGGAACTGTATTATGGGGTCGCGGCATTAGAAAGGTTGAGAACCACTGCTCTAAGTGGTGTACACCAGTAAGCAATGTATATATATATATTTACATTGCCCCCAACAATCTGGGTCCTCAGTTGCAGGATTTGGGTTTGACTTCTAGAGAAAAGAAGGACTAGGGGTGACATGATAGCAGTATTCCAATATTTAAGGGGGTGCCACAAAGAGCAGGGGATCAACTTATTTACCAAGGAACCTGTGGGCAGGACGAGAAACAATGGATGAAAACTAATCAAAGAGAGAAGCAACCTGGAACTATGGAGGAACTTCCTAACAGTGATGACAATTAACCTGTGGAACACATTGGCTTCAGACATTTGGGTGCTTCATTACTGGAGGATTTTAAGAAGAGACTGGGCAGTCACTTGTCTGAAACGGTATGCTTATTCTGATTGATTGGTTGATTGACCTTCAAGGTTCCTTCCAACTGTTATTATTCTGTAATTTTTTTAAAAAATATCCTTTTAATAATAATAAAGTTGAAACGGACCTTGGAGGTCATCTAGTCCAACCCCCTGCTCAGGCAGGAAACCCTATACTATTTCAGACAAATGACTGCCCCGTCTCTTCTTAAAAACTTCCAGTGTTGGAGCATTCACTGCTTCTGGAGGCAGGTTGTTCCACTGGTTAATTGTTCTAACTGTCAGGAAGTTTCTCCTTAGTTCTAGGTTGCTTCTCTCCTGGATTAGTTTCCACCCGTTGCTTCTTGTCCTGCCTTCAGGTGCCTTGGAGAATAGCTTGGCTCCCTCTTCTTTGGGGCAGCCCCTGAGATATTGGAACACTGCTATCATGTCCCCCCTCGTCCTTCTCTTCATTAAACTAGACATACCCAATTCCAGCAACCATTCCTTATATGCTTTGGCCTCCAATCCCCTGATCATCTTTGTTGCTCTTCTCTGTACTCTTTCTAGAGTCTTCTCTGTTCCATAGTACAAACCCCAACCAAAGTTGGACCTAGCAATCAAGACAAAAGGTGGAAAAAAAAACTTTTCAATGTTGTTATCTCGCTGACCAAACAAAATCTTAGTAAAATAAAATAATTTGTCCACAAGTCTCCTGGAAGATATTTTTAAAAATTTATTTTAACTTTTAGGATAACAAATCAGCTCTATTTATCTACAACATGGTGAAATTATCAGCCGATACTTTAGCTATTGAAAAAAAAACTTGTAAAATAGCACGAAAGCTGAAAAACGGTTAATCAACAAACTCAAAATGCACTACTGTCTCAGAGAAGAGCCCGCGTATATAGCAATTTAATGCAGTTGACTGAGTGGAAACCAGAAACAATTAACACCAAGAGGCTAATTATAAAACACAGAGAAAAATACAATTTTGTCCAACACCAACCAACAGCAGGGGTCTTCCAAACTTGGCCCTTTTATGACTTGTGGTCTTCAACTCCTGGCTGAGGAATTCTGGGAGTTGGTCCACAAGTCATAAAAGGGCCAATTGTAAAGACCCCTGGCCAACAGTATAAATTCTGGAAACAGATCCTCTCCCCCATTCACATACATTGTAATTTTCTTTAAGATCCGAGCAGGACTTGAGCATTTAGAAGGCGCTTGTTTTCTTGTCACATTACAAGGCATGCCAGGAGAATATTTATAAAATGTCTCCCATCTTTGTGACCTGGATTCTTACCATACTGTACATTTCTTTCTTTTTTTGAGACTTCTGCAAAGGCTGGACAGGGCTACCAGCGTTACGAAAAACTGAGGCCAGACAGGTACTTGTCATGTCTAAAAGAGGAAACTGCAACCAGTGTTGTGAGATTCCTATATCATATTGAGATTTTAATATATCTAAAGAGCTTCACACCTTTAAACCTCTGCTTTGCTGCCCTTTAATCTATCCCTGGCCCTGGGCAGGTAGGTTTCAGTTCCCCAAAGCCCATAAGCCACGCCGGGTAGCCATTTGGGGAGATGAAAGTTAACATGTTAAAATGTACAGGGGATAAAAGACTGGGACGAAAAATTGCTAATCCTATTAATAGGATTAATGACTATCTCTTTCCTTTGGTTATTAGGCAGCAATTTATTCAATCAGTAAATTGCAAATAAGTTGGTTTCCTAGTATGTATACATTCTCAAGATCACTACGTGTGAAACCAAGTATTTTACACAAGAAGCATTATTCATCCGGAAAGCAGAGAGAACAGAATATAGAGGCAGTCCTCAATTTATGACCAGTTTCCAGCTGCTTAACAACCAGCACGATGTGGCACTGTAATTCTCGTCGTAAGTCAAAGACCAGCTGTATATTTCTCATTAAACCGCAAAAAGAGTCCCCAAGGTTTTCTTAAATCTCACGCCAAACCCGGGAAGCAGATCGACCGTTCTAGTCGTCATTTTTGCCAATAAAGCTATGAGCACAAAAGCAATTGGGAAGTTTCGTTTGCGCTCTCTCTCTTTTTTTTTTAATGAAAAGCTGGCTCATTAAAAAACATTTTTTAAAAAACAAGATGGCCACCTTCGCATGGGATAAAAATTTCAAACCAGGGATCTGCGACCAGCTGCCAACAGATATTGGCAGCTCTGCGATTAAATGCAGCCTCCAGTTTCTGCCCGAAAAATATATCGGACACCTGAAATCTCAGGACATTTCAAAATTCTCCCAAGTAAGAGGGAGATTATTACCAAACCCTCATCAGAGATGGTGGTTTCTGGCCTGCTTTTCCCTTACACCAGTGGTTCTCAACCTGTGGGTCGGGACCCCATTTGGGGTCGAACGACCATTTCACGGGGGTCGCCAAACAAGGCTGTCTGCCATTTTTCCCCCTTTTCTTTGGCCACGCCCCTGGCACCCAGTGATGTATAAGTGGTTGGGGGTCACCATAACATGGGGAAATGTATTATGGGGTTGCGGCACTAGAAAAGGTTGAGAACCACTGCCTTACACCATTTTTATTTCCGAGAAAGGTAATGCTAAAAAAAGTGGATGAGGTACTATTGCCTGTTTGAATTCAAAGCTGCAGAAAAAAAAAATATGTTTTTTTCCTCTTCTTGTTGCTGTGCATCTTCCCGCTGGTCAAAGATTCGGCTTGCTTTGCAGGTGGGTCTGCTGATGTTTTACCCGTAACCACTTGCGGTCGAAGCCTTGTCCGCAGAAGGAGCACTCGTGCGGCTTCTTGCCGGTGTGTTGGCATTCGTGGCGGACCAGGTCAGACCGCCAGCAGAACCCTCTCCCGCAGAAACAGCACTCGTAGCGCTTCTCCCCCGTGTGTCGTATACGGTGGCGGAGGAAACTCGCCGTTCCGTTGAAATTTTTACCACAGTCCTCGCAGTGCTTGATCTGGTCCTTGGGGGTCTGCGGCACAGGAGGTGGCTGCTCTTTCAGCTTAGGTTTCACCTTGCGGGGAGTCGAAGACAGCATCTCCACCTGGATGGGCGGGTGGCTCTTCCGCAGCCTTTTGGAATAACGGCACGGTGAGACGGTGTCGATTCTTCCTTGCTTCCAACGGCAAGCATTGGCTCTCCCAGGAAATACCGCTCGGAGTTTCACGTCTCCGTAATAGGCCCACTGGATTTTTTTCTTCTTGCTCCCGTTGGGCTCCTTGTAACCTGCTGAAAGGAAGAGTAGGAATATTCTCAGGAAAGGTAATCCTCGACTTACGGACGGCAAGTGGCCCCCAACCTTTTGGGCACCAGGGACTGGTTCTGTGGAGAGAGGTTTTTCCACAGACTGAACGTGGGGTTCGCATGTTGCCTGCATCCTGCAGATGGGGCTTCGCTTGTTTGTGTGGACCGGTTTGTGGCATGCCACAGACTGGTGCCGGTTCTTGGTCAGTGTTCTGTCCCAGCCTATTTGAGCGCCTTGTGACGTTCAGAAGGAGAAAACCTCTTCAAATCAAGCAGGCAGAAACCGCAGGACAAACCCAAACCCCTTTTATTAGTCACAGACCTGAGGAAAACAAATACAGTTCATCGCAACTTGATTCTTAACCCGAACAGTTGCCTTTGGCAACCAGCACCTCCCACACCTTCCCTTTTATTATGCAGCCAAGGCCTGGCTTCCTAATGCCTTCTCCTTTGCCTTTCGAGCCGCCCCATTGCATTCCTCTGTCCTACTCTCTTTTCTTGCTGGCGTTTTCGTGCATCCTGGGTATCTCCCAGCTGCGATTCATCTCTATCCCCCTCAGACTCCCAGCTGTGTCTCAGCCTGAGCGCGAATAGAGGGGCCAGGCTCCTCATCAGACTGTTAAGTCTTGGAGCTCCTCAGAGCCTTCCTCTGACTCTGATGTCACTCCAGGCCCCCCCTCCTCCTCTGATTCCCCGGACTCAGCTGCCAGGTCCATGGGCTGACGAGGAACCACAACAGTCAGGGGGTTGGGGACCCGGATGTAGTGACCAAAGTTGCAACGGCGTTGAAAAAAGGGACTGATGAGCGTTTCTCACACTTACAACCGTCGTAGCATGGTCACACGATCAAAAGTCAGCGTCAGCTTGGCAACTGATTCGTACTTATGACGGTTGCAGTGTCTCGGCGTCATGCGATCCCCTTTCTGCTGAGTGAAATCATTGGGGAGGCCAGATTCACTTAGCAACTATTACTAACTTGATGCAGTGGTTTACTTGACAACTGTGGTGAGAGAGGTCGTAAAATGGGGCAAAGTTATCTTAGCTGCTGTCTCGCTTAGCGGCAGAAATTTTGGGCTCACTTGTGGTCGTAAGTCGAGGACCACCTGTATGAAAGGCTGAATTTCAACAGGGTGTCATGGGATGAGAGAATAACCTTGGGAGACAGGAGGGAGAATGGCAGCTTAGTGTCTATAGAGGTTTTCAGTCATCTGGGTCATAGTTATCCCAAAGATGCTTTTTCAAGAGGCAACTGGACTTTCTTTTTTTTCTTTGAAGACGTTTTGCTTCTCATCCAAGAAACTTCTTCAGCTCTGACTGGATGGTGGGGGGAATGGAAGGATTTAGACTCCTTGCAGACAGCTGGACATTTGCATTCTTTTTTTGAAGAAGCTTCAAAAGAGAAGCGCAAGGTCTTTAAAGAAAAATAAAGAGAGTCCAGTTGCCTTGTGGAAAAAAAAAATCACCTTGGGATTAATTGCAGCTTAGCAGTTTTTCTCCATCTTGGCAACTTTAAGAGGCGCGAACTTCAACTTCAACCAGGCCGGCTGGGGAATTCTGGGAGTTGAAGTCCATGCCTCTTAAAGTTGCCAAGGTTGAGAAACACTGGCCTAGACCTTTTCACCCATTGTACCACTTTTTGGATATGGCAACATCCGAGTACCACCAGTCGCCTAGCAAGGTGTCAAAAACTTGATGACCACACACACACACACACAAAAAAAGAAAAAAAGTGATAAAGTACAGGTAGTCCTCGACTTACAACAGTTCACTTAGTGACTGTTCGAAGTTAAAGTGGTACTGGAAAAAGTGCCCCCCAAGCCACAGCCGAGCAAGACACCTGCCTGCCCACTCAGGGGCGCTCTTCCTCCTGTCCGAGGTTTTCATTGTTGTGAGCATTTCTGTTGAGGATTAGCAGCGGAGGTGGGGGGGGGGAGTGTTTGGTTTTTATTCCCCCTGTCTGCTGGACGGTTGCATCAGGTTTTGGTCACTTCACATGACCCTGGGACAATACGACCATCATAAATATGTATCAGTTGCCAAGCATCTGAATATAAATCACAAGACCCTGGAGATGCTGCAACATTCCAGCTGATCGGCGCTTCTTCTGGGCTCAGCAGAAGCGCCAGGATCAGTGCCTCTTTCTAACTGATTGGTGCTTCTTCAGGGCTCAGCAGAAGCGCCAGGATTAGCGCCGAGCTCCAGCTGGAGCCTGGTGCTGATCCTGGCGCTTCTGCTGGGCCCTGATAGCCCTGCAGCTCCAGCCATCTCTCGCTCAGGCTCGTGCGGTGCTGTCACTGGTTCAGCTCATTCCCCCCCCCCACTACCACTTTTCTAGGATGGTCGTGTACCACCTGCCAGGTGCCAATGTACCACAGGTGGTACCCGTACCACTGGTTGAAAAGCCCTGACCTAGACAACGATCAGATAAGAGAAGAAATGGGGGTGTGGAAAGCGTTACAGAAGGGATCCTCTCCCTAAAGTAAAAAGAAGGTAGGGGAAGATGGGTTTTCAGCCTTGCAAGATTCAATTACGGTAACCTTAAAATAAAAGGAGTGTTAATATTCATGCTGTGGATTTCCTGTCTGGACTGCCCGACAAAGGTGAACGTCAAATCTGAAGTCCCGAAACAGCTGATCAAGCTTCCTCACCATTCACTTGAACAATATTTTAATTTTTATGTACTTTCTCGTGCTGCCAGCAGGCCGTGTTCTCCATCAGGTCGTACCCAGGCACAAACAGAAAGCCAAAGTGTACAGAATTTGATTTTAGGAAGCCAGCTAAAGTTATCTCTTCAAAAACCTGCAGTGTTTGCTTTGTTTTTTTAGTCCACCTTCACCCCATGGTTGTTTTAGAGCGCAACTCCCAAAACCTGGCACCTAATGTTATTTAAAACACATATTAGCCCCAGCAACTTCCAGTCACTATAGTTCATGATTGAAAAAAAAAGAAGTTTTCCACTATTTTAAAAAATAGTAATAAAAAGTTTCTTACAGGGATAAGGCTGCTGCTGACTGTCTGCGCTGGCTGGTCTCCGTGTTGATGCCACCTCTGGTTTAGCCTCTGGTGTTTCTGGCTCCTAAAAGGGAGGGGGGGGGAGAGAAATCAGATGCCACTAAAATATCCACATTGATTCCAAAATTGTTGACATGACACTGATGGCAAATGTTTTAGAGACCGAGTGCCCAAACTGCAACCCAAAACCCACTTATGCATCGTTGAGTGCCGGGTGGGTGTGGTCCATTGGCTGGGTGTGGCCCATTGGGTGGGCATGGCCAACTGGATGGGCATGGCTGCAGTGGTAATGGCAGACTGGGTGGGACTAAAAAGTTCAATCAATCATTTCCAACTTTGCAAGATCTTTTTTTTTCCCCGCGAGAAGTTGAAATTGACTGATTGAACCTTTTTTTTTTTTTTGCATACGGTGGCGGAGGCCTAAAGAGAAAAGGTTTTATAAAACCCAGGTGAAGGCCTAGGACTGGGGCGATGGCACGCGTGCCCACAGAGAGGGCTCTGAGTGCTGCTTCTGGCATCCGTGCCATAGGTTCGCCACCACTGATTTATGAATGCTCTTTTGCCTAAATAAAGGGTATACACAGACGCGTTTCGGTAGCATAATGAGCCGTTAGTGGCACATTATGCTACCGAAACGCGTCTGTGTATACCCTTTATTTAGGCAGTATTACAGGTGAACTCCTGTTTGGAGTTTGATCCTGACTCAAGGTTTGATTGTTGGGGGGGTGGTGGTAATGGTGTGTGGCAAAATGGCAACACTGTAGATTGCTCAGAGATAGCTGTAGCGCACTGTGAAGCAGGATATAAGTCTAAGTCAGGGGTAGGCAACCTTGGCTTTTATGACTCGTGGACTTCAACTCCCAGAATTCCTGAGCCAGCCATGGCTCAGCTTGGAAACCTCTCCCTTTCCCCTCAGCACGGCTGGCTCAGGAATTCTGGGAGTTGAAGTCCACGAGTCATAAAAGAGCCAAGGTTGCCTACCCCTGAA